ACTATTCCACCTGTTTATTATTGTATAAGATTAATTTTTATCCAAAATTACGACGAGCAACCCCCTCGGCAGGCCTTTTTTTCCCAGCCATCGAGCAATAACACCATTGGGCAGGAAAGAAATCACTAATGTTTTCAATTTTGTTATAGAGGTTATACAATGTACTCCCATAGGAGCATGCTGTGCATCTACTCCTTTGGTCAAAACACGTATTATATTTATTCTTTTACTCTAAAATTTGGGGAACCATATGTGAAATACTAGATGATTATTTTTAAAAACAACAATTTGAATTTTGAGTTTTGTGATACTTACATCGAGCCACTAAAATATTGAACGATCTCTATTCAATCTCTAGTCATTATCTCTTTCTAGACATAGAGATTTTATCTTTCTTTTTTATATATATAATACAGAGAAAATACATGCGGACACTATTCCACCCTTTTATTATTGTATAAGAATATTTTTTTATCCAAAATTACGAGTACCCGATCGACTTTTCTTTTTTTTCTCCCCGTAACTGCCCAGCAATATCGCAATAACGACACTGGGCAGGAAAGAAATCACTAATGTTTTCAAATGTTTTATAGAGGGAATACAATGTGCTCCTGTAGGAGCATACTGTGCAACTACACCTTGGTCAAATCATTTAGCTGCATTGATTCTTTTTGTCTAAAATTTTGGGAACCATATATGAGTTACTAGATGATTATTTTTAAAAACAACAATTTGAAACACTTAGATCGAGTCATTAAAATATTGAACGGTCTCTATTCAATCTCGATGCATTATCTCTTTCTAATACATAGAGATTTTATCTTTATTTTCTTTTTCTTTTTTACTGAGATTATTCTATGCGTTGAAGATATTATATTGCCAAAATTTGAGATCTAAAAAGTATATTTTGCTTGAAAGAATAAATAGATAATATACTCCCATGAGACTCTGGTTATCCTCGCTCCTCTCCCTCCTGTCCAATGTTGTTATTTACAGGGCATGTCGAAGTTGAAGGGGGCAGGGGGGGGGGGGACAGAGTGTTTGTAATATTACAGGACGTATGGTAATAAAGGGGCGAACATAGTGTTTGTACATAATTTTCTCCACAATGTATAATAATATAATAATATACATTAGCTATAGATGATAAAAAATGCTTCATTAATATTGCTACATCTCTGCTTTTTAGTTTAGTACGAGCTATCCTCATAAATAGAGAGATGGTTCTCCTACATAAAAGTGATAAAACACTATGGACATGTTTTGTTTGCGTTAAATAGTTTTCTTGTGGTAGATTACTTTTTTAGGAAATAGATTTCTTAGAATTAAATTTCACTTAGCTTTTTTTTTTTCTCATGTTTGGTAATAATGTTAGATTTCATATGAAATTGTTTTTTTTTGTTTGGTAAACTATTTGGGATTCTACCATCCTGAAATCTGGAATTTAAGCTATTTTTAACTTTTAGTTGTTTTTTTGTTTTTTAACAACATTTTTAACTTTTAATTGTTATTACAGATATTATTGAGAAGGCACTTAAAATTATCTAATGAATACAATATCTTAAAAATTACCCATTATAAGATGACTACTAAGAAACCCAATCTCGCTAAAAATCCAACCACTCTTTCTCTAAAACTTATTCTCTCTCTAGAAATCTAATCTCTCTTTCTATCTCTAAAAGCTCATTCTCTCTAGAAACTCATACTTTCTTTCTCTTTCAAAAAACTCAATTTTCTTTTTCTCTCTCTAGAAACCCAATCTCTTTCTTTTTTTAAAAGCTTATTCTCTCGTCATCTCTCTAAAAACTCATTCTCTCTCTCTAAAAACCCATTCCCTCTCTAGAAATCCAATATCTCCTTTTCTCTCTAAAATACAATCTCTCTCTAGAATCCCAATATCTCTTTCTCTCTCTGAAATCCCATTCTTTTTCTAAGAATCCAATATCTCTCTCTCTGAAAACCGATTTTCTCTCTCTTTCTAAAAACCGAATCTCTTTTTAGAAACTCAATCTCTCTTTCTCTTTCTAAAAAATCCATTATCTTTTTCTCTCTAAAAACTCATTTACTCTCTATAAAATCCCAATATCTCTCTCTTTAAAAACATGTCTTTCACTCTAGAAAGTCAGTCTCTCTCTCTCTAAAAGCTCATTCTCTTGCTCTAGAAATCCAATCTTTCTTTCTCTCTTTAAAAATCCATTCTCTCTTTCAAAAAACTTAATATCTCTTTCTCTCTCTAAAAACTCATTCTCTCTCTAGAAACTCGATCTCTCTCTAAAGACCCATTCTCTTTCTCTAGAAACCCAATCACTCTTTCTCTTTCTAAAAACTCATTATTTGTTTCGTTCTAAAAATTCATTCTCTCTCTAAAAACGCAACCTCTCTTTTTCTCTCTAAAAATCGTCTCTCTATCTAAAAACTCAATCTCTCTCTTTATAAACTCATTCTCTCTTAAAACCCAATCTATCTTTCTCTCTCTAAAAACCCATCTCTTTTTCTCTTTAAACACCTATTCATGCGCTCTCTTTAGAAACCCAATCTCTCTTTCTAGAAATCCATTATCTCTGTCTCTAGAAACCTATTTTCTCTCTCTAAAACCCAATCACTCTTTCTCCCTAAAAACTCATTCTCTCTAGAAATTCAAGATCTCTTTCTCTCTCTAAAACCCATATTCTCCCTCTAAAAACCCGATATGTCTTTCTCTCTCTAAAAAATCAATTTATCTTTCTCTCTCAAAAAACCCAATCTCTCTCTCTTTCTAAAAACTCATTCTCTCTAAAAACCCATTCTCTCATTCTCTCTTAAAATCCTATTCTCTCTCTAAAAATCAAATCTCTCTTTTTCTTTTTGAAAACATATTCTCTCTGAAAACCTAATCTCTCTGCGTAAAAATCCATTCTCTCTCTAGAAATCCAATCTCTCTTACTCTCTCTAAAAACATATTATCTCTGTTTGGAAACTCAATCTCTCTTTCTCTCTAAAAATCCATTATCTCTCTAGAAACATACTCTCTCCCCCTAAAAACACATTCTTTATCTGGTAACCCAATCTCTCTTTTTCTCTAAAAATCCATTCTCTCTCTAGAAATTCAATCTCTCTTTCTCTCAAAAAATCCATTCTCTCTCTCTAAAAATCCAATCTTTCTTTTTATCTCTACCCAATCCCTCTTTCTCTCTCTAGAAACATAATCTTTCTTTCTTTTTCTAAAAATCTAGTCTCTATTTCTCTCTAAAAACCCAAAGTCTCTGTCTCTCTCTAGAAATCAATCTTTTTTTTTCTATCTAAAAATACATTCTCTCTATAGAAAACCCAATCTCTCTTTCTCTCTCTAAAAATCCAATCTCTCTTTCTCTCTCTAAAGACCCAATATTTTTTAAAATAAATTTTATGTCTTAAATTTCCTTAATGGGCCACGGGCTGGGCTCCAATCTCTCTTTTCGAGCAGGCGAGCTTTTCGGGTACTTTTTTTAGTCGGGCTTTACGAGGCCTAGCCAAAGTATTTTTGGGCCAAGCCTGGTTCGATGACAGCCCCAGACACCCAATTATTTTATAGAAATTGGAATCATATCTACATATGTATGATTCCAATTTCTTAGATTTTGGACACTTTTTATGGATACTTACTTTTGTTACGAACCGAAGGTAAGAATTTAGTTACTTTCTAAGAAAATAATTTCTAAAAAATCATTTTAATGCGAACCAAATATGCCCTAAGGGTGCATAATAACTTAACTTCTAGTAGTTGGAAGTTTCAGTTTATTATAACACAGGAAGTATAGTTATTAACATCGGAGCACCAGACTGAATTGACAATTGGTGCCTTGGTCAATGTGGTCCAAAAAAAAATATGTATTTCACCATAAATTGATTGATACCAATATTTGACCAGATGTCGCCTGTCAAACCAGTTAGTTTTACCCATTCAGACTGGTTAAACAAAGTTGATCGTTTTTTAATATATTTTATATTTTAAATTTATTCTTGTTATCTTTTTATCTTTCAACATCCGTTCCGATTGTTTCAATTTGCAGTCAAACCGGTTTTAACTAAACAAGAGTCATCGTCAGTTTAGTGGCCACAAGAAACTAACTCTAGGAAGTTCTAGTTTCTCAGAATATCATAACATATTCCATGGAAGCTGGCATATCCTATCTTAATGAAGTTCCCCTCTCGCCTTTTTTTTGCTTCTCATCCTCTCTCTCTCACTCCTTTTTCTGTCCATTCATGTGCTCTCTCTCTCTCTCTGTAACCGTGCCCTCTCTCTAACTTCTCTCTCTAATTGTGCTCTGTCTCTCTCACTACACATCTAAATGTGCCTTCTTTGCCTAATATAACCCAATCTAGCTCCTTCCTTTCTGGTTGTACCATTTCTCTTTTTAACTCTCTATCCCCGTTCATTCATTTTCTTTCTACTAACCGCACCCTTTCTCTCTCTCTAGGTGATTTCTCACTCCTGAAGTCCTCTCTCTGGACTAGTTCCATTCTCTCTCTAAAGGTGTGATTATTCTATCCATAAGTCCTTTCCCTCTCTAACCAAGTCCATTTCCCATCTTTAAGTTCTCTCCTTAGCTAGCTCCTTTCGCTCACTAAATGTCATTTTCCTAACTCTTTTCTCTCTAAGCACTCTCTATAACCATGTCCTCTCTCTCTCTGAATCTGTGAAGCCTAATCTCTATGAAGGTTTGTTAGATCACCATCAAACCCAATCTTTGTATTTGAGAACTTCCGGATAGGTTATTAAACAAGTATTGTAGAATTTGCCAGGTATTAGCAATTTCAGTTTCCAAGGACCTAGAACTTCAAGTTTTCAGGGTATCCCTGCTTCTAGTTATCCCAGAGGATGGGGGCATATGAGAAGTTAAAAAGTTGGGAGCAGGTCAACAAAGTCCAACCCATCTATCTCAAGTACTAAGCAAATCCACACCAGTACACGCTCCATTCAAGAATGTATGTACTGATAATCTTATTTCTTTTATAAACCACTACGGATAAGGCAGCCATGGTAAATGAAAAATATTAAGATTACCAATGAATCATGTAATTGACTGAAGTGATCTATTCTGCTCAGGGGAACACATAAGCGCCCGTTGTATTTACATTGAAGTATTATGAAATATTCAAAATATATTAAATGCAAGGATCTCAGGTGTTTGTGGGAACTCGGATTCAATCTTCAGTCGGACCAGTTTTGGAGTAGAGAGAAAGTTTACTGAAGGGTCTCGATGAGGCTGGAAACCGGTGTTGCCAACAAACCAGAAGAGAACCCATTTCAGGTTGCACAAAGTGTACTTCAGGTACTTCAGGGCCTTGGTCCAATTCTCTGGCTTGTTGAAGCTCATAATGATGCTGTAATTTTCCACTTTGTCATTTTCAATCCTGCCATATGTATCCCTTAGTTTGATATTCAAATTCCTAATCAAATTAGTGGCTATTTAGAAAGCATCATGAGAATACGTCAAATTTCAAATAAGATAAAGCTGAAAAAGATGATTTGAAATTCAAGGTGATCGTGGAAAGACATCGAGAAAATAAAATGAAAGTCAATAAAAATATAATGTTGAGGTTATGATTAAAGAGAAAATGAATGAATGGGATGACAAGAGAGTCTATGAATGTCCAGTAATTGCAATAGGTACGTGTTCACCTAATGCTGCACATGCATTAAATATTGAGAATTGCGCAAGAGTATGTCAATCCGCTGTTGTATCATAATGCAAAGGAGAACCTCTGATATTGATATATAAATCACATTAGGGATTGTACATATGGCCCTAGCCATCATATATACATATTTGGAGGTAATTTCTGCTTCCCAAGCTATCTCTTTATTACATGCGTAAGATCTGTCTCTAAGTTTTGTGTACCGCACAATGGACAAATTATTCATAATTCAATCTTTTCATTTTGATTCAACCGGGACTCCTACCTCAATCTGGACAAGCTCAACTGGAAATCCAAATTGAGGATTTTCTGGATGGTGGGTTCCCTCACTTTAGTTACCCGACCTCGAGACACTCAAATTCCATCTTAACTCACAATGTGAACAACAGTACTATGTGAAGATCAACATTATGAATAAAACTAAAAGGATGAAACCATAAATTTTGACACATGTAACTAATCACTCGATTTGTTAGGTGTTATAGAGCACTATTGTTTTATGAGAGAATTGTCATCAAGCACTTGGTTACAATATATTTTGCTTGAAAGTTATCAGGCAACAAAAAAGCCTACTGAACAAAAACAACCATATCATGAGTTCCTTTGTCATAGAAAATAATAAATAAAGATATCCATTAGATATTAAAAAAAAAAACAGAAAATTATAGAAAGAAGATTAGCTATATTTGATAATTTTACATACACAATCGAAGAAAAGAAAAACAAGTGTACTTGTAAGGAAGCTTAAAGCAGTCTTCTAACGGTATGCCGCTTTCTTTATCCATAGAATTTGCGAACTCTGCAAAATCCTTGAGGCAAGCCAAAAACAAAGTCATTGCTGTGTCATAGCGGGAACTCCAAAATATGTTCACTGGACCAAACCTGGAAAGAATTGAGGCGCAAGTAAGTGATTCTTGACAGTGAAACAGCTTCCAACTTACTGTTAACCTTAGAGCAGCAGGAATAGTCTGATATAAAGTTAACATGTAGAAGCTGTCAACTCATCACATTCATCTTTCTCGAGAACAAACAAGCAATGATCACAGTTAGAAACATTATGAATAAAAAGGAAAAGATGAATAAGACAATGTAATTGTCCTTGCTAAAATATACATAAAATATTGTCCACTTCTACAAAAGGGACACATAGAGAACAGCTCTTCCCATACAGAAACTGCCAAAATGCTTACGTTACAACAATTTAGAAAATGTGGATTTAACTGGCATATTGAAGGCAGTGCCTAGGCGGCCAGGGGGGTCTAGCCTACTAGGCACCCCCCTTGCCCTGTTAGGAAGTTTACCTCTTCCATGAGGCTGCCCAAGACAGCAAGGATGGGGCAGGGTACCTAGGGGATTGGAGTTCTAGGGAAAAACAAAATGCAAAAATTAACCTTGATAAACCCATAATGTGTTGGACATTGGTTTGATACAAACATTTGACACTTAAGTGGCTTAAAAGCACATCTTTTAACCCTCCTTGATGTTATAACACCAACCCAATCACCTTCAGATCGAATCAAAATCTTCAAAATTAAGAACAAAAAAAAAAATTGCACTCTCAACAATCTCACCAAACACTAGTTTTTAATGTGTTTAACACAAAAAAAACTAGTATATTTGTGTGTTTTCGGGTAGGAGTCCCACCCCCAATATATTGTGCCTTTAGAAGAGAGGAAAATAGCCTGAAATGCTCTTTACCCAAGGGCATTTTCAACCCTTGGATAGGGGTGAAACAAGGAGGGTGGCTATGCTCAGATACTATGCGCAGGCATGCGGCCAGGCTGCCCCATCTAGCCCCCTCTGACCACCTCAGGCCGATGCCTAGGAGGGTCAGGCCCCCACTTTTTTGATGTGTCGTTCATAGGGGATCTCCCAAAAAAGTGGTCACTCCAAATCCAGAAGCTCAATCCTGTGGTCCAGAATAAGAGATCTTGATTCCATTCATTTTTTGAATTTGGGGATCTCAATCCGCAAAATTGAGGCTCTAGATCCCTGGTTAAGGGATCCGGATTCCTCTCATCTAAATCATGGGTCCATGAGTAAATGGAACGTAGAGTCCAATATTATACTGAAGATCACAAGCACATTTCGAGTCTCATGCACTAACCGCCCCCTCTCCCCGCCCCCACTCCCCCAACCATCCTCTCTCTAACTCCCAAGACCATAATCTCTCTCTCTCTCTCT